CGATCGATCGACGAGCACGGGTGGAATGTAGATAGAAAGCATCGACCCGCCACAACCATACGGTTACGTCTTCTCCTTGCCAAGATCCGCGAGGAAGTGTTGGAGCTGCATCTGGGGGTGACCGGCGCCAATCTGGTCAGGCAAGCTGAGTATGTCCGATGAGGCACTTGGGGTTCAGACAGACGACTGATTATCGTTTAGAGATGTGCTCCAGAGGCTAGCGGTCATGTGGGATACCTGTCCAAGCCATATGAAGTACTCGGTCGACATGTGGCATACCCCCACATTGATGCACAGCCATCAACTTCTGGTCCTCCTTACGCTGAATCTAGATTATCTGCATTCGATCTTCTTGTTACATCGACTCATCTCCGGCGACCGGTCCACGAATGTTTTCATCGTGGCGAAGGACATTCTAAGCACCATTCTCGTGATCAACGACGAACGCGAGCGACTCCGAGAGATTCGGAACGACTTCACCCATCTTGTATGATTCTACTGATCCAACAAGATGCGACTGAACACTAACCAAAAAAACAGTTCCTTCAATACGGCCTTCCGAGTGTCCAGCTTCTCTGCACTGAAATGCTGCACCGCTCGTCGACCTCCCCACTGACGGCTGTTCCGGGCTTCTCGCGGGCAGAGCTGATTCGGGAATTGACGGTGTATGTCTCGTGTCTCAGTTGGGTCGCCCGACCGGGGAGTGGGAACTTCGAGTTCTGCAAACAAGTCAAGGCCAAGTTCACCCGAATTCTGGATGAGATCATTGATCCTAGCTGTGGTACATCGAGGGAGTCAGTTGCGCCGAGCGAGACGGCGAATGCACCTGCGGGCGCGAGCGGCGTGCCAGACTTGCTCGATGCGGTCCACAATTTCAATACCTTGCTGGACTGGGATATTGAAAGTTTCTGGGATCCGCGACTGGACATTTTCTGCGGGTCTGTTTTCTAGTCGGGATCTGCGCATCCTGCATCGCTCCTCGGCCTTCAAGCCAAGGTAAGCCATTCTTCAACTCTCCAACTCTCCAACTCTCCGAGTCTCCGATCATCCCCCGCTCCCGCCACGTGACCTCTCGGTTTCCCCTCACTCTCCGCAGCCGATCTTGATGAACCTTCATAAAGAACCTTCGTGTGCCACCATCACCATGGCAAAGTCTCGCGTACTCCTGTTGGGCAGTGGAGGCATTGGCACTCTTGCTGCCCTCAATCTGGAATGCGGTGGCCAAGCCGAAGTCACCGCCGTTCTTCGGTCCAATTTCCAGACCGTCACCGATCGGGGATTCGAGATCCTTTCCTGTGATCATGGCCACATTCGCAACTGGCATCCAACCTCTGGTATATAGATTACCAACTTGTGTTATTCGACGGCGATACGATACTAATCCTAGACTCAGTTGTCAATGCGGTGCCCGTGACTGGTGCCGGCGACGTGGCGCCTTATGATTACATCGTCTGCACCACCAAGAACATCCCCGATATCGGCCCTTCCATCTGCGACATCATCGCTCCGGCAGTGACTCCCGCGCAGACCGTCATCGTCCTTATTCAGAACGGGCTGAACATTGAGAAGCCGTTCGCTGAACGCTTTCCGGCCAACGTCATCCTCTCAGGCATCAGCCGCAACGACGCGCACGAAATCGCCCCGGGCGTGATCGAACAAATCGACCATGACAACCTGCAAATCGGTGCCTTCTGTGGTCCCCCTGACCCAGTCGATGCCCAAACAAATGCGGCGATTCACTTCGTGGAAATATACAGCGCTGGAGGAAAGACTAACTGCTATCACGAACCGAACGTGCAGCGAGAGCGGTGGCGCAAGCTGGTCTACAACGCAGCCTTCAATCCCATCTCTGCGCTGACGGGGCTGAGCACCGGTGATCTTCAGATTGCCGGCAACGCACTGGACACTTTGCTCATTCCTGCTATGACCGAGGTTCTCACGGTCGCACACGCAGCCGGCATTGACCTCCCTCAAGAAACCATCGCGACAACACTCGCGAAGAATCCCCCGGAGAGGAAGATCTACCCTAGCATGCAGAAGGATATGGCAAAGGTGAGTTATCGAGCCTGCAAGTGAAGTAGACATCGGCTCATTGATTGCTAGGGCAACTTCTTGGAGCACGAAGTGATCATGGGCGAGGTAATTCGCGAGGCACAGAGGAGAGGTGTCGCCACACCCATCCTGTCCACCCTCTACCAGTTGTGTGCCTGTGTGCAGTGGAGACTACAAGGCACCAAGCCAGCGACTAGGCAGAAGTAGGAATGAGGGCGTCGAAGGATTCTCATGGATGTTCGCAATAAACCTACTGCCCGGTCGCAACGGGCCGCGTCCGAAGCTCCGTAGCCAAGACAGCTCATTTTCCATTCACGGACATCATACAACCAATTCATCTATGGGTCTCGTTCCCTTGGCGGATTAAGTCTTATAATATGTACATTGTTTTCAGTATTCAGTGCGCCCGGATCAAGTCGGCCGCGCGTTCAGCCACCGCATAAACGGTGGCCTGGATATTCCCAGCCGGTTCTAAGGGAAAGATACTGGCATCGACCACGCGCAGGTTTCGCGTTCCGTGGACTTTGAGCTGCGAGTCAACCACACCTCCCAGTTCCGCCGGCATCATGGCGCAGGTGCCCGCCGGATGGAAGCAGGTGTACAGGCGCTCCTTGACCACCTCTTTGGTCTTCTCGAGGTCGCTATAATCGACGACCCCCTGGGGAATCCGAGACTGGGGCTTCAGCATGCTCGCAAGCGGCTCCGTCGCGACGATTTGATCCAGGAACTGGACGTGTCGCGCCAAGATTTCGAGATCCAGCGGGTGAGAGAGGTAGTTCGGATCAAAGACGGGCTTGTCCTCCACATTCCCTGAGCGGATGTGCACCGAGCCGCGCGAAAAGGGGTGGTTGTGCAGAACCATCACAGTGAGATAGTTGCCCGGCAGCGACTTGGCCAGGACGTCAGCGAGCGTCGTGGCGCCGGGGAGCATATGCGTCTGGATTGGCATGAGCATGTACTGCGAGGAGGCATTGTGACCTGCCTGGAGCAGCTCCCGCTGCAGTGCGAACTGTTTCTGCAGCGCGGGTGGGAGATCCGCCGCCTGCTGGCTGAGATGCTGGTCGAGCAACTCGTGGACCTTTTCGCGGGACAGCTGGCCATCGTGGTCAACCAGAGGCAGATATGCCATACTAATGGGCATGCCGGACAAAGGCCCCCCGCGCGTTTGCTCGTAGAGCTGAATCAAGGACTGCACTACGTTCGGGTCTCGCATGATATCGCCGGACACTTGGTCGTCTGCTACTTCAAAGTTGATACTTGCCAAACAGTGATCCTGCAGATTCTCTCCCACGCCGGGGCGGTCGAGAATGACTGGAATGTCGTGCTTCTCCAGCAACTCGCGCTGGCCGATGCCGGACAACTCCAGCAGTTGGGGGGTATTCAAGCTTCCCGCACAAAGAATGACTTCTCGTGCAGCACGAATATCCTGACGCTCACCGTCCTTGGCTCTAACTTGCACACCGGTCGCGACTACTTCCCCTTCCACCTCAGTTAGCAAAACCCGTTCCACCATCGTGTCAGTCAATAAGTCCAAATTCGGCCGCTGCGCTACCTCTGGCGAGTAGTACGCTGCCGCATATCCGCGCTGACCAGTCTTCCCATCAACCGTCAACGGTGCGGTGAAAGCGCCAATCTTGCGACCGGCGATGGGATCCGCATCTGTGCGCCAGCCCAGCCGGGCAAAGGCCTCGTCCCAGGCCTGGTTGAACGGCCCATAGACATCCGGTAGGGTGATGGGAACCGGTCCGCTGGTACCCTGGTTCTCCGGGCTCATGTAGCGCTCCAGCGATAGCAAGGTCGACGTCGCCTCTGACGGAGGCGTGTAGGTGTGGAACTTGCGGAGATAGGGCGCCATGTCCTCGGGGCCCCAGCCCTCGTTGCCCAACGACTTCCAGGCCGCGAAGTTGCTTTCTGAGGGGTACATCACCACCGAAAAGTTCATGGCCGACGTGCCCCCTACCACCCGACCGCGCGGCTGGGCGATCTGGCGGTTATTCACATGGACCTGCCTACATGGTCAGTATGTTGACAAACAGAAACGCAACAGAGACAATGTACCGCTACGCACCTGCGGCTCACTCATATAATCCCAATCGAAGTCAGGGTTTCCATACAACGTGCTCAAAAAGCCAGGGGTTTCGATGCGCGGATCGCCCATGCGGTTGGCTCCGGCCTCAATCAGGAGCACGTTGACGTCGGCGTCCTCAGTGAGTCGGGAGGCGAGGACCAGCCCGCTGGTCCCCGCTCCGACAACCACGTAGTCATAGGATTTAGCGGCAGTCATTATTGTCGAGCAATCAGCTTGCGGTTCGTTTGGAAGGAAAGCCCGAGGGAGAGGAACCGCTGCAGGGGGAGCGGCATGAAATAACTGCTAAGTCGCCGAGACTAAGGGGCGAACAAAGCCCGAGCAGGCAAGTGCAGGCAGGTGCAGGATCAAGAAAAATGGGGCGCTGTCACGGGCTGCAGACAGAATTGGAATTGAGATTGACATGGCGTGGTGGAGCTGGGCAACGCTGGGCAACGGCTTTGGTTGTTAGGGTTGGGATTGGCTGCGGGACAAGCGGACGATCCACATGGTTGACAGCGCCGGTGGTTTTGGCTCTGCCCCTTGACATGTCTAGCCATCTCTAGCCATGATTAGCCACGCCAATCTCTGCCAAAAACCGTTGTGCCATGCGACAATCCGCCAATGCTGGGCTCCACTTGGCTGACTCGCAGGACCGAACCGTCCTCGGTGGATGTCCGTGGATTTCGCTTGTTGTGACAAGAAGCGATGCAAAACGCAATGATCATCGGTGTCTGGCCCCCCCATTGTTGGGTTATTTTTGCACGTGCGTTTCGCGGATTCTCTTCAAGTACCGAATTGCCGCACGACTCCTGGTCGCGATGGGATTGAATTTCCTTCTGTCTTGCAAGTCTCCCATCATGCATGGCACCCAGGTGTTCGCATGGCCATGCAGTTCTACAATGTCTTCGAATATGCCATAGTGCGCGACCAGCTCATCGCCAACACGGTGCTGGTGGCCGTGAGCACATTGGCGATCGTGCTGCGCTTCGTCTCGCGGCGAATCCGACGCAGCAAGATCTGGTGGGACGATGTCTGTATCGTCGGGTCGATGGTACGAGGGCCTCGAGAAATCTATGATGGACATGCGAACTGACAGCTGGGGTCCTGATTAGCTCAACACTTATGGTATGCTAGCGATGCACTACCACTATGCACGCGTGGGAATGCGCCACCACATCACCGCCATTCCCGCCGAGAACGCCATTCTCATCTTCAAAGTGGGTTCTACATCCGGTTTCGGGCAATGGCAACGGTCACTGACGAGCACAGATGCTTATCGTCTACCAAATCATCTACTACAACTGCATGGTCCTCGCCAAATTCTCCTATCTCTTCTTCTACCTTCGCATCTTCGTCACGCGCGGGTTCCGCATCGCCGCGCGGGTGTGCATGGGCTGTGCAGCGGCCTACTGGGTGGGCAGCATGCTCCAAATTTTCCTGATCTGCCAGCCCTTTGAGAAGAACTGGAACTCGACGCTCCCCGGTCACTGCGCGAGCATGAACGTGGCATTCTCGACGATTGGCGCTTTCAATCTCGTCACCGATCTGGTCATCATGGCCCTGCCTGTGCATCACATCTGGAAGCTGCAGACCTCGACGGCCACAAAGCTGGCATTGTATGGTATATTCGGAATGGGATTATTGTGAGTCGCCCGCCCTGCCCCTCAAACCTTCATCAAAGACCGGAGGATTGACAGAAATGCCAGCATTTCCGCCATCACCATCATCCGCATCCGCGTCCTCACAACCGTCGACTTTGCCGACCTTTCTTATAGCATGATCTGGGCGGCCTTCTGGAGTGTCGCTGAACCTGCTCTCGCCATCCTCAACGCCTGCGTCCCCATGATGCGCCCGGTTTTCAAGGCCGCCTTTCCCGGTGTCTTCTCGTCGGCCAAGGCGGCGTACTCGTCCCAGACTGGGGCGCAGTCCGGGGCATCGGCGCGGGCGTTCCAGCGCATGCGCGATACCGAGAGCGAATTGCCGTTGACGCAGCTGGAGCCCTCGTCGAAAAGTGGCAGCCGGGGACAAGATTACGAGGTCTCATTGAATGGGGACCAGCGGTCGCATTAGGAGTAGAGTCGCAGGGGGTGGTCATTTCTATCACATGATTCACTATAGATTATAGGTTGTGGGGGTGAATTATACACGCCTTATCTTGATGCATTGTCCATTGTTTTATTCTTCCCTCCTACTACCCAAAAGAGTCTAATCACGAACATTGCCAGCAAATAGGCCAGCTGATCCCACGGATTTCTCTTCCGTGTGGTAAACCTTTCCTCCTTCTCCCTCTTTCTCCCCCGCCTTCATAACCATTATAATTGCCTCCTCCTTTACAGCTTCCCCCTTCTCATCATCATCTCACCCTTCAATCAGTCTTACAGATCCGGCCTCTGCTTGCGTCTCACCGGTGGTCCGAACTACCTCGAATTACCAGACGTGTTTGCCATCCCCATTCCACAGATCACTGCCACTACTTCGTTGTCACCATGACGCAGCCAGTCTACTTTGCTGATGCTGAAGCTGAATATGCAGCGGGTGCGCGACTCCGCTTGAACACTGCCGAATGGACTATCTTATCCCATATTAACGAGCACGGCGCCCCCATGGAACCTGAGGACGCAGCTAACTTCGATGCTCGTCCATATGCTTGCGCTCGCTTCCTAGTAAAAAGGCATCACCGTGACGATACTCAGCCTACTCAGCAGGCTTTGATGCGGGTCTATAAACAAATCTTCATTGTGGGAACAGAGTCGCAGAGCGCTGGGGAACGTGCTCGGCAGGCCAGACAGCATATCCCCCTAGAAGTGGCTGCCTTCCAGCAATCTTCGAGACAGAATGTTAACTTGCACTCCAAGCCTGCTTGATAGTAAGCAGGAACAGCAAGGAAATGCGGACCGTGTTCCGGGTGGCTATATTCACACCATTGTCTGGAACATCGTTCCAGGAATCCGCCTTGGAGACGCCTGCAGTGCAAAAGTGTTCTGGAGCCTTGCCCGTGCAGAGCAAGACCTCATTCGCGATGCCTTTCAGCGTACCCTCCCGTAAGTTTTGCTGTGGCTTCTTTACACCTGCCGTCTGCATTACTTTCGATGCTCTAGTTCTGTTTCCTAATTACGTCAGGGCTCTCCGTTCTACTGGGTATGAACCCGCGACAGGGACGGCTGAAAACCTCGTTTGGGATGCATCTGCACGCAAACTGTTTGTGAACCCCTTACTCCCCGGCTTCTGGTTTGATAGAGATTACTGATTCTAACTAGTTACTTTGTTGGTTGGTTCAACTGCATCCGATTGACTTCCGATGAACGCAGCAAGCCTTGGAGCCCGATCCTCTGGGCAGGCTGGGGCTTTGCTCGGGCACCCCACATACCCTTCGCTGGCCCATCGTGGCAAGAATCTACTCGTGATTGGAGATTCTAGGGATGCTCGGTAGGAATAATACTGTGTGGTGGAACACGAAGGTCGAAAGGCTGAGTGGCGATCATATGGGCCTTGTTATTAAAGGAAAAGCCCAATGCAGTAGACACCACCATGGTGGATCACTGCTTGTGGAGTTTGATAGTTATTATTCGCCGACAGGTTGCTCCTCGGCCTCTTTCTTTCAGCTCTCATCACCCCACTAATGAATCGATGCCGATCCAGACTATGACTACTAGAGCGTATGAGGCATAAGCTCTGGAGACGACCTCCGCTGCATCACTTTTCGGTCTTTACGTCATCCTCCGTAGGAGAGATTCGGCGAATGTGGAGTGCAAGCAATTTTGACTTATTCAGCCTAAGTAAGTGAGTCAATCCAGGAGCTTGGAAAGGAAAACTACTGGGTAGCGATGAGGCCAGACCCCTCTCTTCCCCTCCGCCCAGCAGGCTCGATCTGATCCGCCACAAACCACGGGGCATTCCTCCTTCATCTGGTTCCTCCAGCGATTCTGTACGTCGCAGCACTAAAAGCCACTCGTGCTCATCCGGGCTAACATGCATGGCCCCCATCTGATCTACACCAGAAAACCGGAATAAGCAACTTCGGGGGAAAACCCCCAGGACCCCCCTTTTCTTTCAGCTTCCTGGCAGTGCTCCTTCTATCTTCCAAATCGCAATGATGTGACGTTGATGGGGATGTCTCGGGAAACAATCTATCAATCTGCATTGCATACAGCGGAGCTGCAATGCAACATCAGCCTCGACCAATAACGCGCACGCGTTGAGGATCGCCCCGCTGATCGGCCGAGCACCGCATCATTCGGAGCGGCGTTCACGCGATCGGCATTGCCCGCATTGACCCGGCGATGTGATGAAGCATGCATCAGCTGTGTGGCCCTCCCAGAGCAGCAGTGATGTGCTGGGAGCTGAAAGCTGAATACAGCTGGGGTATACATCACACAATAGTGACATCGAGCCTGCCCGCCGAATGGCCCGACAACCGTGTTGAAGAAGAATATAAATCCCCTCACAGTCCATTCCCAACTGTACTCCTTAACAACAGCATCTACTACTACTATCATCTCCTCCCTCACTGCCACTGCAACGAAACAACCAATCAAACCTGAGAATAACCCCTGAAAAACCAAAATACCAAAATACCGAACACCAAAATGAACATCCTCCTCCTCCTCTTCCTCAGCCTCCTCCAACTCATCAGCGCCGCGAAATCCGGCACCTACAACGCCGGCTGGCCGGTGGCCGGCACCTGGGTGGCGACCGACACGGTGTTCGCGCGCGAGACTGGCATCGACAAGTATCGGTTCACCAAAGCGGACGGGATCTTCTACACGTACCAGCTGGACATCAACGTGGCCGAGGTGCAAGGGTCGTTCGGCAGCACCTACGTGTTTTATGAAACGACGGACGAGTATTACCTCACGGTCTTCACCCGCGGCGTGCACACAATCAATTTCAACACCCAGGATCCGTATATCTTGCAGGTCAAGGTTGTCGAGGGTTAAGCTTGATAATATCTGAACCGGGGGGTGAGGGTGCTGTTTTGAGGGCTGGTATTTGTGGGTAGTTATGGTATGGGGGAGAGGGGTAGAAGGGTGAGAGGGCGGTTCTGCGTTTCTCAGCTGCAGTTTAACATGATAGTTGATTGGGACTCGGACATCCAACATGCCAGAGTGGTGATAGTTATATTTGCGGGTAGCACGGAATCTGTTGTGGTGACTTTTGTATACCCAGTTGACGAGAAGATAGAAGATTGAATGTATCATCACCGAGATAATAAGAAGCAAGTTGGCTATATAAATGAGTTGGCTACACTCCATGATTCACCTATTCTTACTGTTATGAGACCAAGGCCCTAGTATACTATATCTCTTGTCGAGACCTTGATCCACTGCATCATTGTGAAGTGGTCAAAATAGTGACTCGATCCACGGATCTTTCTTCCGTGTGGCTTTTTTCTCCCCCCCCCCCCTCTCTCCGTCGTCACTCCATCCTTCCTCTCCTCTTTCCGCCCGCAGGTTCATTCTCTTCTGTTGTGGGTAAATGCAAAAATTTCCTCTCATTCGATCTCTCACTGTCAATCCTCGATCGTCACTGGTAGCCCGGATCCTTGTGTCGTACGCTCGGATCACATCCTGTCGTTCGATGGCAAGTATAACCTCCTTCGGTACGGCGGCGCACGGAGTGGGCACACACATCCACCTGGACCGGTCCAGGTGGAGGATTGTGTCCAACGTCAACGAACACGTCTTCCCATTTGACCGCGAGGATGCAGAGACCTTCGACATTCGCCCGTATATCTGTGCCAGGTTCCGTGTGCGGAAGGTCCAACAGGGCCCTCAAGAAGATGCCTTTATGCGCGTGTACAAGCAGATCCCCATCCTAGGATCGGAGTTCAACACTGCGGAGGAAATCGCCAGGCAGGCCAAGCCGCAGGTTCCCACCGAGGTGAAGGCCTTTCAGCGGTTTTCGTCCCTTCACCCATGCCCGGATTGCACTCCAACCCTCCTCGACAGTAAGACGGAGCAGCAAGGACACGGGGACCGTGTCCCGGGGGGGGTTCATATACATCATCGTCTGGAGCATTGTGCCAGGAATCCGCTTGGGCGATGACCTCGGCTCGCAGACCTTGTGGAACTTGTCTCGGGAAGAGCGAGATCTGATCCGAGCTGAATTCAGAGACAAGCTTCCGTATGAGCAAGCTTCCCCTCTTTTCGTCTCGGTGCTTTGGGTGCTGATATCGTTGCAGGGCTCTCTATTCGTGCGGGTATATAACCTATATAGGAGCGACCCAGAACCTTGTTTGGGACGGAACTGGCCGGAGACTGTGGGTGACCTTCCTTTTCTCGATTGCTTGCTTTAGATACTGATCTCACCTCAAGTTACTTCGTCGGTTGGCTCAACTGCCTTCCTCTGAGACCAAACGATATCGACCTGCCTTTCAGTCCCATGCGTTGGGCGAGCTGGAGGCTAGCCGTGGCGCCCAGAATTCCTTTCCCCAGCCCCACGTGGCAAGGACCCATCGATAGTTGGGAGCTCTAGGTGCGGTTAGGACAATACTGCGTGGTGGAACATGACGGTTAGAGGGTTGACCGGTGCTCAGACCTGTTTTCTCGAGCCTTACTGCCCTCCGTCTCATGGCCGAGGGATGATGGTGTTCTTTAGTACCTCTTGAGTGATCCTCCAATGGTTCTATTCTGTCTACCTGGTGGTATTTGACTATACCCTTTCCCTTTCTTTCCATATCCTCTACGTTGACAGGGTACGTACCACGAAAACCGTTCATATAGTGGGTCACGAGGCTCCGAATAAATTGCAAGGTGTTTTTGGTGCGCTTCGAATAATAAGGGGTTGGTATTGTGGGGCTGGTTTGCGGGTTCTGATGCCACCAAACCAGGGACTGACTACTTAACTTAGTTGACGGTCTTATGGTTGTGGCAGTCCGCCTCTGTTGAGAATGGTGTCAAGCATCCTGGATGTTTGGCTTGTATATCGATATTGTATTCAAGTTCTCTAACTCTCCAGAGAGTTGATCCTAGGCTGGGAGGGCCGATATTCGGCGGGTGGATCGGTCATTTTGGGTGGACGGGAATTTCCGCCAGGCTAGCCTAGCCGTGGACCCGTGACTGGAGATCACGTAGAATCACGTGATAAGAGTCACATGGTACCGTCGCCCCTCACTCCGGGAGGTTTTTCCACCCCCGGCGGTACTCCGTAGCAAGGCGCCCGCGATCTACACTGCACTGGGCACTTGCACTCCAACTCCACTTCCATACTCCAGCAACAGCCCAGACTGGCGTCGCGCCTCGCCTCGCCTCATGCTCGCTGCCATCCACGTCCACGTCCAAGCTCCTTGAGAATATGCTTTCCATCCTTGCTCTGCTCTTTCTTCGTTGCCCTCATCACTCTCCTCCGCACCATGTCAGTCACTGTTGCCGCGCAGATCGCTGACGTCGCTAGCCTCATTCCTAGCACAGTTTCCCCCGCCGAAGAAGAGAGTAAGGATACCAGCCACTCTCCGGTCTACACACGAAGAAACTCAATACTAATCTCTGCCCGCATAGAACTCTTTCTGCCTGCGGCTTTTGATTGAGCAGGTGGACGTTGCTGGTTTTGACCGCGATCAAGACCACGATTGGCCCCTCCCCCTTGAGAGCGATGTTTTCCGATCTATGCTGTACCAATGCAACGACCTTCTCGCACGGCTACGATATCTCTCGCAAGCAAGACTGATAGGACTCACACAGCGCCTGCAGCGCTTGCTCCGATACCTGGTCAGTGGAGAGGCAAAGGTCGGCGGAATCCGGGCTTGCTTGAAGGCGAACTCTAGCCTGGCATGAGCACTGGCAATCCTGCTCTGGTCCTGCGAGGTTCACCCTTCCTCGCCGGGCTCTGCAGGCTTAATGCGCATGGTTCTACGCTACCTCGACGGCGGGGTCTATGATAGGCCTAGACCGATGAGATTGCAATCCCTACATCCAGACTAACCAGGAGCACAACACTGTCAACAGTGATTGGTCTACGAAAGGCATAGCCGTTGTGTTCAGCTCCGGTGGACAGCGAATACGCATGCTTTGGCTGATGACTGATTACAAATGAGCTTGTCGGCCTGGATGCTATTGCAGAACAGGTCGAGGTTCCAATACTGAACAAGGTAATATATAGCTTTTTATATTTGTTTTATTTACCAACCCGCAAGTAGTTGCCTCTCTCTTGCGGGTCTGGACGTATCCTAGAGAGTCGCTCTTGCTCCGCGGATCATTCCAGAGAACAAGCCGTCGACGCTCAGACGTTGCAAGGGTACGGGACTAAACCGTGGTCATTATCCAGCCGCGCTATCACCATCCACAAGCAGCCCGGTATCCGTGTCCATCATTTCCGTTCCACCCCTACAAGAAACATTAGCCATAGCTCAAACAGTCCTAAATTACCACGGAAGAAAGCTCACCTGCAAGCGATTGGCGATATCACTGACGTACGACCCGGTAGCATCCTGGGGATCATCCAGATCGTTGAAGTTGATGCTGCCCGAGTTGTAGCCACGCAGCACATTGTACGGGTTTCCGCCTGTGTTGGCACCGACATTGTCGTCGTTGAACCACTGGACGAGACCTCCGCCGGCGGCGGTGCCCTGCGTGCCGTCGACAATCATCTGAGTGATGCTGCCCTGCGGGTCGCTGGCGTCGAAAGAGGTGGAGCCGGCGTAGGCCTGCATCAGGCCGCAGTTCTCGACCCCGTTGTTGGTGCAGCCGACGTAGACGTTGCCGCTGGACTAATTGTGAGGAAACTCGGTTAGTAATCACGCTGCAAATGGAAGCCCTGAGAGACAACTTACCTCCTGCATAACAACAGCCAGAACCAATCTCGGATCAACCTTTGCATCAGCCGAGACCTGCACAATAGCGTTCCAGATATCACCCTGGATGGGACCGTCTTCGACCAATGCCATCGAGGTCTGCTGGTTCAGGTCGAACATCTCGGTGAAGCCCATCCAGTTCGCGAACGGGGGGAAGTTGGCCGCGGCTCCGCCAAAGCAGTAGTAGTACTCGGGGTCCTCGTAGGCTGTGGCGCCGTCGGTCAACGACGAACTATACCAGTTGAGCCCATTGCCGGTCACCGCAGGTCCATTGCTGCTGCTGCCGCCGCTGCTGCCGCTGCTGCCGCTACTACCACTGCTGCTGCTACCACCCGAGGAGGTCGCGCCATCCGCACTGTGAAGATAGGCCGCCACGACACCACCCCAACCACCCTTGTTATCACTCTCCAGCGCCGCGTCGACCTTGTTCTCCTTCACGATATTGGTGATGGCCTTGACGTTCGTGCCGTACAGATAGACGCTGCCCTCGCTGGACAGAATGCGAATCGCATTCGCCTGGCAGTCGCCCGTGCAGCTGCCGCCGTGGTTGAAGAAGACCCAGACACCGCCGCCGTACAGGAACAAATTGCTCGATCCGCGGATGCGCTCGAAGAAGGCCATGCGGCAGCCGACGTCATCGGCGTCGCATTCGCTGAAGGTGGGATCGCTGGCGATGAGGTTGTCGGTCCAGGGGGCGGGGGCGATGCCGGAGCTGGGGGCGCCCCAGCCCTGCCAGTACGGGGTCTCGCTCTGCTGGAAGCTGCTGAGGACGTTGGAGGCGTACTCGAAGTTGTACTGGTACAGGGTGTTGTGCTCCATGGCGGTACCGACGAGCCAGGTGCCCTTGGTGGCCTCGACGAGCATGCCGCGGCCGGTCGAGACGGTGGTCGATTCCAGGTTGCCATCCAGGTTGTGGTCGGCCGTCCAGCCCCACATGTTCTCGATGTAGGCCGAGGAGGTCGCCGTTAGGTGGATCAGGCCCCATGCGGCCTTGCAGATGTCCGGGTTGCCGTAGCAGTTGGTCTGGACCTTGCTGCCGGCGGCGCCACCGATGCGGAAGTGCGAGTTCCACAGTCCCACGGCTCCCGGCGTCGAGCCGGCGATGTTGACCTCGACCAGCTTGCAGCCCTGCAGCACGTCCGCGACGGTGAAGAGCATATCCGAAATCTGGGCGGTGCCCACGTCGCCGGAGTTACCGACCTGGACCATGGTCGTGGGGGCATCGGGGTTGTAGAAGTTGCCGCCGGTGGCGCTGATGGCGGAGGCGTAGGCGTCGCCGATGATGATGGAGCCCGAGGGGATCAGGATGGTGTCGGTGACGATGTAGGTCCCGGCGGGGAAGTAGATGATCTTGCAGCCGGCGTACTGGGCCAGGATGGCGTTGATGTTGGCGGTGTCGTCCGTGGCGCCGTCGCCGTACACGGGGAGTCCGGAGACGCTCTTGATGTTGATGAACTGGCTGGCCGAGTACTGGGAGTAGGTGGGCGGGGCCATGGTGAAGTACTTGCCGTTGGAGTCGAGGAGGACGTCGGCGCGCGCGGTGGTCACGCTCAGCCCCTGCTCGTAGGCCGGGGTGGTTGCACCGCCGGAGTACAGGTTGCCGTGGACCCAAGTGTTGGTAACGGAGCCGGTCAGGACGGCGTTGCCGTTGAGCGAGACGGTGCTGCCGCTGTTGGTGCAGGCGACGTTGTCGAGGATGATAGAGTTCTGCGCGCTGCCGCCGGCGTTGGAGGAGATGATCATGTTGCCCAGGTAGTTGGCCGTGGAGTCGATCACCGTCAGGGAGCCGGAGATGCTGCTGGCGTCGATACCGGTGGCGCCGTTCTGAAGCGTGCAGTCCTGGCAGACGAGCTCGAAGGCACCGGCCTTGATACCGACGTTGGCGCCGTTGATGTTGATGCCCTTGAGGATCCACTGCTGGCCGCTCAGCTCCATGGCGATGGCACCGCCGTAGAAGGTCAGGTCATTCTGCGCAGAGGATGGTCAGCCTTGGGGGCATTAGGGTTAGATCGGTGGTGGGACGCACCAGGATGATGTTACTGTTCGAATCATACTGACTCGTCACACCCACGTGGTTCGAGTTGTCGGGCATGTTGAAGACCACATTGGTCAGCTGGGTCGCCTGCGAGACGGTCCAATCCAGCAAGGTGATGGCAGTCGAGGTGGAAACACTGGTCGAGTCGATAATCACGTTCTTGAACGCGATGTAGAAGTTAATGGTTCCGCCCAACTTGGGATCCTTTCCGTAGATAATGTGGTCGGTAGGGAAGTTGGCGCTGGCCTTGAGGGTGGGCGGATTCAGAGCGTCTCCCACAAAGACGGTGCCAACGTAGAGCTGCAGGGGGCTGTCGAGTCGGTACGTGCCGGCGGGCAGGTATACCACGGCCGGCTGGCCGGTGGTGCCCATGGAGCCGCTGCTGCGGTCAGGGCCGTTGGAGGCTCCGGCTATCTGAAGATCAGTACGTTGCATAAGTCGTTGCATCACAGGAAACGTACCTTTGATGGCATTCTGAATGGCGGTAGAGGCATCGGTGGCACCGGTGTTGTCGGCGCCATAGTCGGTGACGACGTTGCGGAAGACCTTGTAGTTGGCCTTGTAGGAGGAGTCGAGGAAGGAGGATTCGCCGTTATGAGTGATGCTCTCATACCAGAAGGTGCTGGGGCTGTCCGGGGTGGGACCGCCGCAGCTGGCTCGCTTCTGGTGGGGATAAGTGAGGTTGCCCCCGTGCGAGTGAGGGGAGACTGGGTTCCAGGGCTGCGCGGTCTTGTTCTGAATCAGAAAAGGAACGCCTGCCTTGACCGGAACATAGTCCGCTGAAGGAATCCACTGGTCGACATCGAAAGAACTGTAGTTAGTAGGAGAGATAAAAGACTGAGGTTGCGATTTCAAAAGAGAGCCAGCAGGAAGTGCTGTGGAAAGACAGGCAAAAGAAAGACTAGAGGTCAGAAGCCAGCTGAGCTTGGCCATGATGAACGAAGGACTGGGGGTAAAAGAATGACAGTGAATGACCCTGACTCCCATCTAAACTCATGGGGTTGAGGATGCAGATTATATACTCGCAGCCCTACCGGTACTGTTCGTTGAGGGCTCGTGGAGGGTCCATCTAGGGTCCATCCAGGGTCCATCTCAGCTGAAGGACGATACGACCAGTTTCCCTTTGCAGGCAAGCTGAAGTTCTCACGGAACGCAGAATCGCCATGGTGGTCAGCTCATCCATCCCAGAGATTGGAGCAATGCGACATTGCAATCTCGGTTAATGACCGTGAGGGTTCTTCAGATGGTGTTTTCTTCATTAGCCCTGAGATCGCGTGCGGACTAGCGTGGAGCCGTGCGGATTGGACTGGAAGAGCGCCAATCAATGTCGACAAGCCAGTTCGAGGCTGAACCGGGCTTTAGTCTGAATTTGTGCCTAGTCAGAGAGTCCGGTCTGGTTCTAGTAAGGTACGATCATGATTAGTATATGCCTGCCCCACTGCGTTGACCCCTTCAGCTCCCCCGTTGGATCCCGTTGGATTGTTCTGAAATTTGTGCATAGTTAGCTGTATGAGTTTAGTCACATTCATAATTCGTGATTAGTCTGCGGGCCCCACTTAGTTCAGGCCTCCTGCTCCCCCGTTGGGCTGCAGTGAGACACCCACAATCTAAGACTTCGTGTTGAAATTACCACCCGCCTGTCAATATCCTCGAGATGAAGCCCCCTGAGCGCCAACGGGCTCCTGGCCGCACCGGATGATAACCTGCCCGGAGCTTGAATCGACGCAGCCATGGCGAGTTGTATAGCTCAAGATGGTCGGGTGACTAATCGATGCAGGGCCTCAGATATTCGTCTGGCCCGTGCATACGAGCCTGGCCCCACTGCATCCCCTGGGTCAATCACTAGACAAGCATCGATCGAGATGAGTGGACTGGCGCTGAGCAAGTGGTATCCGCGTTGTGTCGGAAAGGAGAAAGGAGATGCCTGCAGAAGACTCATGCCAGGGGTCCTGCCCGATTCTGCATAGTCAATCCCCACCAGGACACGAATGGGCTCTACAGGTCGAAGAATCACGTAAATTGGCACTTGGTCCGGAGGCAGGTTCTCCCTATTCGCTGTCGCTGTGCCAATGTCACCGGTTCGGGGAGAACCCTACATCAGACGCCCCTTACTGTGCCTTTTTATATCGAGAACAGCCGCAATAATTGGGCACACAATCTCTGCCGGTTTGGTGATATTTCTTCTCACCAGGTGAAGAACACCAACCGCAGAACTAACATCCTGAAACACTGAGGCTGACAAGCACTGCAACCTGCCCCACGCAGTACCTGGCACATGGCACGCCACACAGGGTTCCGATTTCGGGACAAGCGCCCGCTGCAGAACTCCCGACTTAACATCACGACTCACTCTGCCCGAGCCTGGCGGGAAAAGGAAGTGATGCGTCAGACATGCTTGTCTTTTCACCGGCAGCAGGATCAGATATGATTGCCATCGGGTAGCCTGCTAAGCACAGTAGAAAAGAGGTTGTAGACATTGGCAATACGAGAAGATAATTTGTGTACATACATAGCATTCACAAATTCTTAGGTCAGTATAAAGTTGACTTTGAGATGATTGGCTGCTGTATTAAGCCCCTGCAGAAAGCGCTGGGGGCTCAGCTTGATCGGTCCGAGCAATATATAACAGAACGGGCTGGTGGACAAAGTTTCGCCTGATTCACGGAGTCTGCTAGGAAAGATAAAATTTTATAGTTCCCTATGGTATAGATTTATAATTCACGGTGCTACCTTATGTATGAAATCATTATTCCGTATTGATTATTCTCATTTCATCGAAACACACATCTCAATTCATCCAGTTATGTCTGCCGCTACTCTCCCAGAGGGTAGCAATGCAGAACTTGTCCCGCTGCAAGGAAATTAGTAACAGCCCCGAACCTTCATAGAACAAGGAACCAGAGTCACTTACAATAGAAAGACGCATCCTTGCTAGCCAAGAATACAAAGCTCGTCGCCACCTCGGAGGGCTGTCCCGGGCGGCCCAGCGGCTTGCCGGACGCCCAGCCCTCCATGGACTCGGCATCTCTTGTGTCAATCTGGATGGGGGTGTATACGGAGCCGGGTCTGTCGCCACTATTAGTCAGAGGACGGATGACATCTGTGAAATAGTAGGGGCAAAACGTACGCGACCGCGTTGACCCGAATGCCCTTGGGCATGAGTTGCAGGGCCAGCGACCGGGTAAAGCCCACGATCGCTCCCTTGGTTGATGCGTAATCGACCATCGTGCCGGAGCCGCGGAAGGTGGTGACGGATGTGTTGTTGATAATCCTGCGGAGGATGGGTTAGCCTGCCAGAATCGCGCAGTTGCGATGGGAAACTAACGAATCTCCCTTGGACATATGCGGGAGTGCATATTTGGTGATGGCAATCATCTGCAAGATGTTGGTGCGGAAGGTGTCCTCGACTTTGTCGAGATCAATCTCAGCCAGATCCTTGCACATGTACTGCTTCGATGCGTTGTTCACGAGAACGTTGATGTGCTTGAACCTACAAGGGCAGGTCAGCTGTGTTAGTCCCGTAGTCTGAGGAAGACAAGACTGATGTCAGCATACTTGCTCACATGTTCCTCCACAGCCTTCTTGCACGTTTCATTCTTCCGCAAGTCGCCCGGGACCAGGAGACAACTGCGCCCTTCCTTCTCGACCAGTTTCTTTGTGTGTTCTGCATCTTCCTGTTCCTCGGGCAGGTATACGATGGTGATGTCGGCCCCTTCGCGGGCCATCAATGCAGCGACCGACCGACCAATTCCGGAGCTGGATCAGATGGTCAGTATGGCACAGTTACCCCGGCGGGAAGACTCACTCTCCGCCCGTGATCAGGACCTTCTTGTCCTTGAGCTTGTTGGAGCCGGTGTATTCGACGAAGCCCTCGCTGCCTTCCAGCTTGGTGGACTCGCTGGATGGCGCCATCTCCTTCTCCAGACTATCCGAAGTGTTAGCCCCTGCTGTGCTCCATTGCTTGCAAACGTGGAAACGTACCCCGGCTTGCTCTGAGCCTGTTTTGCCTGCGGGGGCTGGAAGGTGCCATCTTTGCCCATTTGCGACGACATGATTCGATTTTCAGGGTACGTGTGAGAGAGATATCTACGTTCTCCCGAGGAAGGTGGTTTGACAATCTCGCCAGGAAAAGTCGAGTGTGGAAACCCGGTTTTATATGGCAGGCCCCGACTACCACATCATTCAGTCATGCATGCGTCATAGTGCTCGAGCTGTCTGGCCAGGTGCGCGGGGCAGAGAAGGGCTTGGTGCAATAAGCGCCATGTTTTGTGGTCGCTCTTGCGTCTGGCCCGAGCTGTATGAGATGAGTCCCGAGCATGCAGCTTCTCATGCGCCTGAGCAGTGCTGTTGAGGTGGTATGGGGTGAAGAATGACGTTGCTGCCCTGTGAATGGCGGACATGAAGAAATTATACCGCAGATCAAGGGTCACTGACTAAGCTATGCAGAGATAGTCACGTGGTGCTGCTCGGCCATCGTGGTCAAAAGCTCTCACCGCTCTTGACTCCCGGGGCAAAATCCCCGCTTACGCCGAGTTATTCTCGGCCTCGACCCGGTCGGTCCCGTTGCGGCGTGGCTCCTGCCTCAGACTGGCGTTGACCCGGATCTGGATCGGTTTGTTGGATGTCTGGATATTCACTGGGCAATGTAATCGAGTGTCTAGGTACATCGAGAAAATATTAGCCTTCAACCTCTTCAAATGTTCCTAAATGTCTTTCAATAGGGGCGGTTCAATTTCCAGATCTAATCTCACCATTTACGCTGAATAGCTAGCTCAGCATGCCGTCTGTAAATATGAGAGGGATGTGGCGAAAGTATAAATGCCCCGTACCTAGTACTCTATTCTATGTAGAAGCTAGGCTCTCCGCCTAAGTCGATAATTCTAGTATCCTTAAAGCACACCGTAAACTAATTGGATATCTTGAAATTCCTTTCATTCGAGCGGCGAAACACTGTCAAAATGCGTATTGAGATAAAGAACCATCGATTTGTATCCAGTCTTCTACATCGCTTCATCACTCCAAATAAGTGAATGTCAACATAGACCCCGAGGACAACAGGCAAACCAGACACTCTAGTTAAGCTTGAACTGGGCCTGGTCCTTGTCGATCGCACTCAACTCCTTGTTACTCTCCAGCTCCTGCAGTCTGCCGTTCAGCTTGGCCGTGATGAGCATGATGGCCGTCCCGCTCAGCGGCAACCACAGCGGCACCTTCTCGCCGCGGGCCGCCACCTGATACAACACCTGCGCCACCTGCTCGGGCTGCACCCCGACGCCCGCCTCGAGCCCCTTCTTCACAAACACCTCGAGCTGCCTGGCTGGCAGATCGGGCGCGGCGTAGGCCTCGTGCGGCTTGATGTGCTTCTTGCTGGTCGTCTCGAAGTTGGTCTTGACGGCGCCGGGCTCGACGATGCAGAAGTTGACTTCCTACGGTCAGCACACCCACTTTCCCTTATCATTCCAGAGACCCGGGTAAGAGAAACATACTGTTCCAATCAGGGTGCATCTCCCGTGCCACCGACTCGGTCCACCCCTCGACTGCAAACTTGCTGGCGTGGTAGAAGGCATGTCCCGGGAAGGCGCACACGCCCGCCACGGAGGAGACGTTGAAGATGAGCCCACCGCGGCGCGTGGGCGACTGCCGCATCACCGCCACAGCCTTCAGGGCGACGCGCACCGTCCCGAAGAAGTTGGTCTCGAACTCGTCGTGCATCTCCGCCTCGGTCACGGCCTCGCTGTCTCCGGACAGCGGGTAGCCTGCGTTGTTGACCAGCACGTCGATGTAGTAGCTGTCCCCGAAGTGGGCTGCCGCGGCCTCGAAGGCGGCGTCCACCGCCTCGGGGGAGGTCACGTCCAGTGCGAGCTTGAGGATCGAGGGGTTGTCGTCGGGCAGGTAGGAGAGGCTGGCAGGGTTGCGGGCGGTCGCAATGAGGCGGTGGCCGCGTTGAGCAGCGACGTGCGTGGCCAGCGCGCGGCCGATACCGCTGGAGCAGCCGGTTACTGTGCGTGTCAGTGGGTGGTGTTTGGATTTTGGGGGTGGGGAGGCATACTGAACCAGGTTGCATCGGCGGGGAGCTGGTAGGGCTTGGTGTTGACGGGGTTCATCTTGTTGAGTGGACGATGGAGCAATGCAATGGGAGGTGTAGGGGGAAGTGTTGATGATGCGAATGAGAATGATAGTGCTTCATGCTGGACGATCCTAGGCTTTATACCTGGCCATCTGAAATTTGCTTGCGGAGTTCGTCTTCAGGTTTGCTCCACCGCGCGCCCGAGCTGTGATGTGACCCCCAAGCCAAGCTGCATTAATGGGCGCTAATCAGTGATTAGGGAGGGGAAAGTTGGTTGCAATGCTAGGCTGTTGCGGATTAGGGCTGGTGTTGTCGGGCTTAGCGGTCGGAGTTACCCCGCCCGTCGGTCGGATGGTTGAGCGTCTCTACAGACATTCGGCAGTTTTCAATGGTGACTCGGATGATTTTGGCAGCTGGAGAATCGTGGTTCATTGGTGCACCAAGTCTGTTGATGTCATGGTATGCTGCAGATTTACTATTGAGTAGATCATAGGCTTGTAGGTGGAAGTTGTTGGGTGGGAAGCTAAGTCAGCCTGTGTAGCCCCAACGTCACACGTCGCTCGCAGGGAAAACAATTCAAGAGGGGTATTGTATCTTTGTCGATTCATTATCGTCATCTTTCTGAAGTAAACCGATAGGTTCATGGTTGCCTAGTAGCTACCCCGCTGTTTGCTGAGGGTACGCATGCTCTTGTAGCAGTTTTATGAGAGGCCGCTGAGGACGATACACCTTATTGCCTCTACGGTGCATGGAACAGGGTTCGAAATCTAAGCTAGGAGGCATTAACACCGAATTGAGCTCCAGATCGATCTCGCAGTCAGTGACCAAGGTCAAGCTGCGATGGAACAGCCTTGTCGACAGGATCCACGGCAATCAACATTGTATCAACCCCAACAAAGCCATTGACTCGCTGTTCCAGCATGCTTACTACTCAATCCATACGAGGCTAGCAGATTTAAACAGGGTCCAGCTATACCATGGTAGGTGGCTTGCACCGACACGAGCGGGTAAGCCTTCAGTTGGCTGAAGCACCAAATAGGACTTCTTAGGACGGCCTGGACAGCTTTAGCCTCACAGTTGTCAGCGCTCTGCAGAGTCATTGCAGGATTGGAATTAAGCTTGAGACGGCCCATTGATCGCCATAAGGTCATGCAGTTTTTCCTCTAGTCGTCGATCACCACCTCCCCTTCCTTCTGGTCCACAACGAGGAATCCTTCAGAAGTTGGGAGTTGCATGAGAGGGCACTATTGTGTTGTCATTCTCTCCGCACTAGCTCTGACATCTCAGTTGCTTGGAACAGGTTCCAATTCATCATGAGGATTGTATCGTGCAGAGTACAGTACAAGGTGGTATTGTATTCCCTCGGAGACAGAGAGGGAGCCAGCCGATCGACGCCGAGGCGGGAGCTAATTCTGATCGCCGGGTAGCCTGAAGTGCCCCCCCCCCCCCCCTTTTCTGGTATCGCTGCCGATTCCGGAGTAGTAATGGGCCCGATGTACGAGGAACCCCTTAATTAAGTTAGCAATGATCCAATCTCCCTGTACAGAGGGTATCTAGACTGTCACATCATTGAAAGCTGGAGCGGGAGCGACCGTGCGGCCGGCTGATCCGCACACTAGATTCGAATGATCGCCTTCTTCAGACGATAGTAATTCTAGCCAACGTCCCGTGTCTTTGAAACAGCGAAGAAGAAGGCCCACGGCAATCCATAGGCGAACTCAAAGAGGGTTATCAGAGGATCTCCCGACGCCTTGTATGCATTGTCCCCCATTCTGGGGCTGGATCATGCCTCTAGTCCCGTCCCAGGCCACTAAAGCCAAGGGTTCGTCTGCCCCCTCTGCAACATCGATTTCAGCCTGGTGGCTGGATCCCCCGCTTTAGTGTTGACTCGGGGAAGCATTCGCTTTCGTCATGAGTCCTTGTGCTGCTGCAGATTCGGAGACGTGGTGGCAAAGACATGAGTACCGCGAAGATAGGGTTCCCTCATCTGTTCACGGGCTGACCGGGATACTTGCCTGTTTGCTGGTATGTCCACGTACTTTGGTTGTAAATGTACCCCCCCCCCCCCCCCCCCACCAGGAGGGATTATAGCAACCGCGTCAGGGGTTCATACTGGCTTATGTCGGCTGTAGTTACCCCATCGGAGTATTGAGAGCCCTTAACTGAGTGGTTATCAATCTCGTCGCCTACAGAGGACAGCGTCGATCAGAACTCCGCATGCAATGTGGTGCTGGAGGAAAGAAAAGCAAAGTCAGAGCACATTGTCCCATAGTCTGAGCCTCTAGGGCTGCTGGTATTGTAGTCAAAGTATAAGACTCAGCAGCGATGGTACATTGAACATTGACGATGGACCGTGACACTGCACTTAAGGTTGACTGATCGATACTGCATGCACCCTTCCCAATGTCGGACTCCAACAACCCCCCCAAACGAGCCGCCTGTGATCGCTGCAGGACGCAGAAGCTGCGTTGCGTTCGTGCCCCCGGCCACCCCGCCGACTCGTGCATTCGATGCATTCGATCTCAGATGGAATGTGTAACCAGTTCATCCAAGCGGCCGGGTCGACCCAGAAACTCGACCACCGCTTCGCGACAGACCACTGGCTCGACTCGATCGAAATGTAACAATGATGATATGCACAGCCCGCGCAATCCGAGTCCATCTCTTCCCACGGTGGATCTCCACGCTCTGACCAGCGTGGACGACTGGTTCAACCTCGAACTGCTGGACGCCGACTACGAGATGAGCCATGCTCCGTGGAACTCCATCGATGTCGGGTTGCCGATTGATGGCAGTGCGACCATCCAGACCATGTCCTCTCCATCAACACCACCGGATGGACCCTCATCAGCAGCCTTACTCAATGACCCGATGACGGACACCAGCCCGACCGAGCATCTCCCGCTCCTGCAGCTCGAGCCCATCGACCCGGGCTTGCTGCCGCTGTTTGGCGACCAGCTGCCCCCTCCGACCTTCGACCACGGCCTGCACCTCTCCGTGCTCCAGCGAGAACTCTCCAAACAACTCTTCACTCTCCGGTCGATGCCATGGGACATGACCAAAGCCATGTGGCTGACCTGCCTCCACGAAGCCGGCGGCTGCGAGTCCTCCACGAAGCCGAGCCCACCGGATCTCCAGATCACCACCACCAACCCACTCGCCAAAATTGCACACACGGCTGCGGACTTTGCTTATTTTCTCCGGTCAATCCAAGCCTCTCCCTCGTCAGAGATCACGAACAGCCACCACCTCGCTACCAAGACTCCTGCCAGCAGCAACACCGCCACCGCCCTAGCATTCACCCACCCGCGCCTCAGCATCGCCGACCTCCTCACCATCCTCAGCTGCCACCTGCTCACGATCTCCATCTACGATGCCATCTTCGGCCACTTCATCGAGCAGGTCCGGCTGAACCCCACAGCCCTCACGCTGGCGACGCAAGCGGCCCCCAAGCTGTTCCTGGGGGGTATCGCTGTTCCCCCCGGCTTGGGCATGCTGAGTCACCTACTGTACTGTCTGACAGGGAGTCAGCTGCGACCGATCGAGATGCTGCTCGGTCTGCCGGAGGAGTTCTGCCTATCGTTGCCGCGGACGGGGCTGGATGACACGCAACAAAAGCCGGAGGGGCTGTTCAGTGGGCCCAGTGGACAGTTGCTGTTCTCGACGTTGATGCAGGTGGAGTTGGACGCTGGGAATGCCGGGGGTGGGCGGGAGAGAGGCGGGCTGGGGGTGATAGAGGCATTGAGAGGGAAGATGAGGCGGGTAAGGTGTTTGGATTGACTCGGGATATAGAGCCCGGTTGTTGCGACATCTAGTGTTCTGATTATGTTGAAGCCATAGGATTGTTTGCGGGGGGGTTCAAGGAGCGAGGTTGTATATAGCATTAATTCAACTTAGGTTTGTCGGAATCCGAGTGGTAGAAATGTGTCTTTCCAATATGACTGCAGGTCTTCGGGACACGACCCTGGAAGAGCGGATATCTACATGGGTGTTTCATTATAGTCTATGTATCTCCGTTTATGCCTACAGTAACGCATAGGGCATTGTATTGAGTCTATTGGAGCAGGGTCTCTGAGTCGATCGCAGGATAAATCTTGGCCACCAGCAAACACTACATGTTGTAGACCAAGCATCGAGTTCTGCCAGACCAAAGTCTTGTCGACGGAGTGACTGGAGGGGATGTGTCTCTGGGACTCTTTTCCGAGGCGGGTAACCTTGCTTTTGATCAGTTCATTCTTGTGGCTTTCACTAATCAACTATCAAATTTCACCTGGTTATGCTCGACTTAGGGTCTACTCCGGGCGATCGGGTTCGACCATATGCTCTAGACCGTGGTAATCCTCACCACCCCTGGCCATTGGTCACCGCAGGGACTCGATTCGGTGATTTCGCCCATTCGTCAGGACCCACTCATCAGCTGCCATGCTTGCTTATTCTGAGAATTTCCCTTTCGGGTAAATGTGGCGCGCATCGCGAAAGGCCCAATGGAGTCCATCAGTCCATCCCGTGTGCAGTAGTGTGCAGTAGTGTGCAGTAGGGCGCAGTAGTCGACAAGAATCTACAGGCGTCTGCAGCAGCATACATGCACATCCTTGTCACCGCACCAGAAACAGATAAAGCGTGCAGCCATTCCGTGGTTGCAGTCCCTATCGATAGTGTGGATTAGGGCTGTGCGACCCCGGACTTAGCGGCGGAGGTACTGGCGGGACTGTCGATCTTCGGCAATTTCCACCGCTCGCCGGGGCTGCAGGCCGCCAAATGCCTTCTGAGAGGTGGCTGCTGCCCACCGAGCTGATTGAGGGGTCTTACAAGTTCAGGGTCTGCTGTGAGGTTTGGATGCCTGTTAGGGGGTAGGGGTTTCTGCCCAATGCTTTTCTGCGTCTCTATCCCTCGGACCCTGATTCCAGTCCTCCTTTATACTATACCCCTTTCTTCTTACTATACCCTACATTCACCCGCATTCGCGTATCTTAATTCACCACCTGATAACTCTAACCAGAACGTGCGAAATGGACAACGTTCAATCCTCGCCACGGA